AGAACCCTCCGAGCCACATGCTCCAGCAATATTCAACACACTACCCCATACCTCCATCCCTTTGCACTGCTCACAGTGACACTCCTCTTCTTCTTTCAAAACCTTTCTCAGACATCAACTGCTGTGATGTCTCCCTTGACTCCATTCTACATTCCCCACCACCACACCTTGCTTCAGAATCTTGTGCATTCATTATTTATTTATTTATGTTCTTCGGTCTCTTCACTGAGGCTGTGAGTTTCTAGTGAGCAGTGAGTTTCTAGTGGGTTTCTAGTGTGTCTGCTTTCATCTTGGCCTCCCAATGCCTAACAGGTAGCCTGGTACAGCACAGAACTTTATGGAATGTTGAGGGTAAAAGAAAATGTATTCTGATCTGAAATGAATAAATCATTCATTGAGCACCATATGCGCTCAGTGCTTCTAGGAACAGAGAAAAGGCATGATCTCTGCTATTTAGGAGACCCCAGCCAAGAATTACAAACAAGAGAATAGGTTATCAGGTGGCTATTATGTGCCAGTCATTGCTCTAAGCACATCATGCAGATCAATTTTTCTGATTCTCAAAATAACCTTTTACACTGATCCCTTTATTATCTGAGGAAACTGAGGCACAGTGAGGGAAAGTTGTGAACTTATCCTAGACAAAAAGACTGGTACAAACTGGAGATAAGAGTTGAATTCAGGATGTCTGCATTCAGAATCCTTACCTGCTGGCACGAGTGACTTAACCCCCGACCTGCCCACTTTACTTCTGTCAAGTCCTGTTTACTTTACCTCCCATGTACCTTTCAAGCACATCCTACTCTGCTTCATCCCCTCAGCTACCTCTATTTCTGGCCACCATTTCTATCATCCAGAAGTCCTTTAAGAAACTCTGTTCCGAGGCATCGGAGTCAACACAACATATCTACAACCATACAATCTTTGATAAACCTGACAAAAACAAGCAACGGGGAAAGGACTCCCTATTTAATAAATGGTGTTGTGAAAACTGGCTAGCCATGTGCAGAAAGCAGAAACTGGACCCCTTCCTGACACCTTACACCAAAATTAACTCCAGATGGATTAAAGACTTAAACATAAGGCGCGGCACCATAAAAACTCTAGAAGAAAATCTAGGCAAAACCATTCAGGACATAGGAGTAGGCAAGGACTTCATGAACAAAACACCAAAAGCATTGGCAACAAAAGCCAAAATAGACAAATGGGACCTAATCAAACTCCACAGCTTCTGCATGGCAAAAGAAACAGTCACTAGAGTGAATCGGCAACCGACAGAATGGGAAAAAAATCTTTGTAGTTTACCCATCTGACAAAGGGCTGATATCCAGAATTTACAAAGAACTCAAACAGATTTACAGGAAAAAACAAGCCCATTCAAAAATGGGCAAAGGATATGAACAGACACTTTACAAAAGAAGACATACATGAGGCCAACAAACATGAAAAAATGCTCATCATCACTGATCATTAGAGAGATGCAAATCAAAACCACATTGAGATACCACCTCACACCAGTTAGAATGGCGATCATTAAAAAATCTGGAGACAACAGATGCTGGAGAGGATGTGGAGAAATAGGAACACTTTTACACTGTTGGTGGGAGTGTAAATTAGTTCAACCATTGTGGAAGACAGTGTGGCGATTCCTCAAGGACCTAGAAATAGAAATTCCATTTGACCCAGCAATTCCATTACTGGGTATATATCCAAAGGACTATAAATCGTTCTACTATAAGGACACATGCACACGAATGTTCATTGCAGCACTGTTTACAATAGCAAAGACCTGGAACCAACCCAAATGCCCATCGACGATAGACTGGACTGGGAAAATGTGGCACATATACACCATGGAATATTATGCAGCAATCAAAAATGCTGAGTTCATGTCCTTTTTAGGGACATGGATGAATCTGGAGAACATCATTCTCAGCAAACTGACACAAGAACAGAAAATGAAATACCGCATATTCTCACTCATAGGCGGGTGATGAACAATGAGAACACGTGGACACAGGGAAGGGAGCACTACACACTGAGATCTGTTGAGGGGAATAGGGGAGGGACAGCGGGTGGGGGAGCTGGGGAAGGATAGCATGGGGAGAAATGCCAAATGTGGGTGAAGGGGAGGAAGGCAGCAAAACACACTGCCACGTGTGTACCTAGGCAACTATCTTGCATGTTCTGCACATGTACCCCAAAACCTAAAAAGCAATAAAAAAAAGAAAAAAGAAACTGTGTTCCTCCTATTTTAAACTCTATAGATGTAGTATGAACATGGTCATGTGACTGGCCCACCTTGGTGGATTGCCATGGCCCTTAGGATCAAGGCAAGACTCTTTCATCTGAAAGAGTGCCCACCATACCTGAATTGTTTGATCTCTGCTCATCCAGGACCTGTTTTCCTTGTACCATGCTCATGTTCACTCTGCATTCTGGCCTCCCCAGGCCCCACCATTGAGCCTTGTGGATGCTACTCCCTGTGCTTGGAAAACCCTTCCACCACTTTTTGCCTAAAATGTTACCCATCTTTCTCAACTCAACTCCAGATTCGCTCTCTCAGAGAAGGCAATCGCAACCTCCCTGACCACGCTGAGCAGATCAAATCCTAAATTGGGTCTCAGAGGCACTCAACAGATATTTGTTAAATGAATGAAAAAAGAATCTTTGATAGTCTTTTCACATCCCAGGGAGATGGGCATGAAATTAAGATGCAGCAGAAGGGGAAAACCCTCCGTTCTGGAGCAGTCAGGAGAGGGATTTTGGTGCAAAGCTGGATGTGTGTAGTCAGAGAGGTGGCCACTCCATACAAAAGAGCTGGGAAATATAAATTGCTTAATGTATCACTTGCAGCAACAATGTTGGTATATGTTAGGGCAACGATGGCCAAGTGGAGGCTCAAAAAATTATAAAAGTAACAGGTAACCAAATAGCCAAAAAAAATCTGTTTCAATCCCACTCCTTCACCACTCATTTGTTTTGGTGGAGATAAGAATGACCTTATCCTATCAAGTAATGTTTGAAACTGAGTCTCAAACATTACCAGATAGGATAAGGTCATTACTATTGTCACACACCATATTTGGCACAGGGATGAATCTAAATCGCAGGTCTTCCAAGTCCAGCAATTTTGCCAGAGACCATTCCTCAGTAACAACAGGACAAAGCCAGCCCAGGAAGGCAGAAGGCGAGGATATGGGGAGGAGGGGGTGGTTATTCTGAGGCTCTGAATATTACCTTGTTTGACATCAAAACATTTTTTTCCGCAGCTGAAGACACAACACTTCTTGTTGTCCTGGCATTGTCTGTCCTTTGTACACACATCCCTTTCTTTGAATGCACATTCTTCTTTGATTCTGGGACATCTCTCTAGGGAAGGAGCCGTTTTACACCCGTGAGCCTTGGCGAGCACAGTGTCTCCCCGCTTTGCCAGACACAGGCAATTCTGGAGAGTCAGGGAAGTTTGCTTCCAGTTTGCTCCCCTCCAGGAGTTCTTTTCCTCAAGGCGGCCTCACTCACTTCCCTACGGCCTACACACCTGCTCCCTCCTGACCACTCCTCCCTCTCTTCCCATCCCCCCAGCTCCATCCCATCTCAAACACCAGTGATATTTGGGCTGGATAACTCTGTCTGGGGGGCTGAACTGGGCATTGTAGGATGTTCAGCAGCATTCCAGGCCTCTTTCCATCAGACTCCAGTAGCACCTGCTGGTTGTAACAACCAAAAATATCTCCAGGGTCTGCAAAGTTCCCCTGGAAGGCAAAATCGCCCCACTGCGGGCCACTGGATTAAGCTGATGTGATGTTTTGGGGCCTCGTTGAAGAATCAATGTTTGGAAGTTCCTCTAGGTGGTGATATTATACAGCGATTAGTATCACTTACCCAGGAGCCAGTTTAGATTTTGAATTCTGACTCTTGGTCTGAATTCTGACCCTCTCTGAACCTTGGTTTCATCATCCGTAAAATCATTTTGTCCTTAAGGAGTTGTGAGAAAGCAATGAGACAGTATATAAAGCTCTATTCATTGTAACAGATGCACAGTCGTATTAACTAACATTTGTTAAGTACTCTTCCAAGCCAAGCACTCTTCTAAGCATTTTAAATGTATGATCTCATTCAATCTTGATAATCACTCTATGAAGGAAGTTCTGTTTATATCCTCATTTTACAGATGGGAAACTGAGGCCCACGAAATTTAAGTAACTTACCCAAGATTACATGGCTACCAAGATTTGAACCCACTAAGTCTGACTCCAGATCCCTCTGTTATTTTAGAAATCCCTTTTCAGAAATCCTTACTTCCTGAGTGTTCAGCACATGATAACAATGATCATTGTTACATTATAGTCATGGAACATTAGTGTCTTAAGTTAAAAGGGACTTCTGGATGCTGTCTTTTATCTCAAAGTTAGGGAACCCCTAGGGATACAGGGACGCTTTACGGGACTATATTTGAAAGAACCAGAAGTTGCTAGAGATGACATCTCAAGAAAGGGGCCTGTTTTGCTTGTGGGGGAAGGAGAAGGACTCTTGGTTTCCTGGATTCCTGTAGCGCTTACCCTGAATGCTACATTCTGTGACTCTCTTCCACCTCCTTGACAAAGACTCTCCACTTCAAAGGGGCTGAAAGTGGGGATTACCTCAGTAGGGGGTTCTGCATTCCCAGAAGGGGTCTTCCACAGAAGGGAGCTTACAAATATCTCTCTCCTCTCCCAATCTGGGACCCGGCTAAGATGGTGGAAAGCAACCCAGATCTGAAGAGTTGTTCCCTGATCCTTCCTCCCAGCAAACTCCCCTCTCTCTAGCGCAAGGGCCGAGGCCCAATACTTACTGGCAAATAACCAATCAGTCAGACCAGGTCCCTGGACACTCACTAAGAGGATGAATAGCACCAAGAGGCTCAAAAGTCCAGAAGATCCCATGCTGAAGAGAGACTGGCCTTTCTTTTGGTTCCAGAATTTGGAATGCTCAGCTGCTGTGGCCCAGCCTATTCCTTCAGTAGCCAGCACCTTGGATGTAAGAACTGGAGACAAGCCAGCCACTCCCTTTCTTGCTGGGAACACTAAGTTCCCAAGATCACAAATGGGACTAACTGCCCCCTCCGCCCGCCACCACCAGCTCACAGCTTGGGAGGAAGGGTCTTTTGATTGAATGGATCTTGATCCTTACACACCTAGGCTGCACTGGGCTGGGGGCTCTAGTCAACCCTGGGGAGTGGGCAAAGTGTGTCTCCCACTTTCCAGGCTACCTTCAGAGGGAATGCCACCATCATGGGTCTTCATCTTGATAACCTGGAGAGCAGTGGAGTGTCCTCGTTCTTCGTTCATTTTCCAGCGTACGTGCACACTTACTACCCCGCCCCTTCTGCTTGTCTCTGACAATGTGTCTCTGCTGGTCTCTTGGTATCTCATCGTTTATCAGTGCCTCCCTGTGCCTGTGTCTGTTTCTCTTTCCCCATGGTCTCTGTGCTCCTTTCTCCCTCTCCCGTAGTTTCCTCCCATCCTTCTCTCTTTTATATTTGGTTCACTCATATTCTTTGACTAAGACTAAAGAATAAAGATGTTGCCACACAGCAGGGTGTAGAGGAGGAATCAGGCTAACAGCAGAGTCTTCAGAGAGTGTTTCTCAATGTTGTGTTGCTTTGAGAGCAAGAGAGGATATCAAAGCTTAGAGGGAGCCTCAACCATCAACCCAAGCTCCTTGTTGTCTAAGGAACTATGAAGTAAAGGGACTTGCCTGAGAGACTGCAGTGGAATAAAGTTTGGTAACACAGCAGCGTTTCGGGATTCTAACTGGGCTAGTAGAGGAACCGTGGGAAAGAGGTGCTGGAAAACGTGGGCAGCTCTCCTTCCTACAGCCACAGAATCTACACCGGTCACTCAGCCAGTCCTAGAAAGGAGAAAGACACTCTTTATAGAGTAAATGTTATCCCTAGGGCTCCTGTTTTCTTCTCTAACTAGGTGTTGCCCTTTTGGGCCAAGTTTGTTCTCCAAGTTTTCCTACATCAGACAGAGGCCAAAGACAGCCTTATCATCAGAGAGTGACTATATGGTCACAAAATTTAGGATCAGAGACAGAGCCCACGTAAGAACATTCCACCAACTTCACAATCTCACTTAAAGAGACTAGTGAATCAAATTTCTTTTTTTCTTTTCTTTTCTTTTTTTTTAAAGACAGTCTTGCTCTGTCACCCAGGCTGGAGTGTAGTGGCACAATCTTGGCTCAATGAAACCTCCACCTCCCTGGTTCAAGCAATTCGTGCCTCAGCCTCCCGAGTAGCTGGGATTACAGGCATGCACCATCATGCACGGCTAATTTTTGTATTTTTAGTAGAGATTGGGTATCGCCCTATTGGCCAGGATGGTGTCCACCTCCTGCCCTCAAGCAACTCGCCCACCTAAGCCTCCCAACATGTTGGGATTACAGGCATGAGCCACGGTGCCTGGCTAGAATTTCTAATGGACAAGTAAGATGTTGTAAGCAGTTCTGTTTCACTTATTTTTTTCCCATCTTCTCACAAACTCAGCCCAGGAGGGAGTGAAAACTGGAATATCTAGGTGGAAGGGCTCTGAGGGATCATCAAGCCCATTTCTCATTTTTTAGATGAGAATCATAAGGCCCAGAGAAGTGCGGGTGCTGATTAAATGTCACCCAGCAAGTGAGCATCAGAAATAAGGCTAAGAGGGAGCTGAGCATACAAGTTCTTGCCAGAGGACACCCGGGCATGTTCTGATGTTGGCGTGGATATGTTTTCTTGTAGAGTTGAAGATAGAGAGGAAGGGTGAGTTCAAGGGAATGAAGTGATGTCTTTAGTGGAGACAGAGGCTGAACACCCACAGAGTCAGTAAATTTCCAAATGGTACCCAGCATCCCTAATTAATGCTGTATTTGTTTCCTAAATTTTATTGAAAATAAATTAACTACCTTTGTAGCTGTTGCATTCCATTCTGTCTTGCCTAATTTTCAGGCCCAATCCAAGCATCTCACTTTCCAACCAGGTGAAATAAAATTGATGACTTTGGGACTTGGGATGAATCATGGTTTGGGCCCCTGCTCTCCAATAACTTTTTGGAGAAGGCTGGGTAAGGACTCATCTGAGGTTTTGCCTCTCCTTGCGTCATCCCCTCTATTGAGGGCCATGGTGTCTGACCTCTGCCTCAGTGTCAATTCTCTTCCAGGAACAATCCTGTGCTCAGAACAGGGGACGCCAATGAGAACCAAGAAGACCAGCTTCTACCTGGCACCTCCTGCTTTTTTCACTAGCCCAAGACCTGTCACATGGACTGATTCCCTGTCACTGGCTTCCTGTGTGTTCCCTCTGCCTCTAATTCTATTATTAACCTACATATTTGCTCTACCAAGTAAGCTCCAAACTCCATTAAACAGGTCTATGTCTAGAACGTAGTGCTTAAAACATGAATAGGCTCAAAACAAACACTCAGTACATCCTGCTGGATGAGCAAGGTAGGTGGTGGGGATTGGTAGGTGTGTGAATAGGTAGGTAGATATGTGGATGGGTGGGTGGGTGGCTGGTAGAGTGATGAGTGGGAAGATGGTTGAACAGGAAGAGGGATTAGTGAGGGAAGCATGGATATTTGGGTACATGAATGCATGGATTATGGATGGGTAGATGATTGGTGAATAAGTGGATTGGATTGAATAAAAGGATAGATAGTGTAGTGATGGGATAGGTGAACCTATTGATGGAGGCCATTTGAATGAAAGGTGGATGAGTGCATTGGTAGGTGGATGGAGGGAGGTAGGCATAGAAATTATGAATATGTATTTTGATGGGTACGAAAGAGTGTGTGTGTGTGTGTGTGTGTGTGTGCAGATAAAGGGGAAGGAGAGAGGTCAATAATAGGAAGATGAATTAAAGGCTGGATGGGCAAGTAAGTCTGTAGAAGAAAGATGAGTAAGAAGGGTAAGTGGATAGACATATGGAGTGGGCAAATACTAAGTTGAAAGGTGTGTCAGTGAAGGGATGGGAGGGATAGGTGAGTGGGGATTAGGTATCTGCATATGTGTTGAGTGAATGGATAGATGAGTAATGGGATTGAATGGTTAGTAAGTAAATAGGTGGGTAGAAACATGAATGTATAAGTAAAAACACTAACCAAAGTTAAAGATATAAAAAGAACTATATGGAGAACAATTTATACTACTCTAAAGTAAAACATGTGAAAATATAGGAAAAAATGGATTAATTTTACCAAAATACAAAAGACCAAAATTTGCAGAAGAGGAGGTAGAAAACCTGCACATGAAAAATAAGATGAAATATTTTAAAATCACTATTTTAAATAGATGAAAAATAAGATGAAATATTTTAAAATATACCACTAGAAAGAACCTGACCTAGATGCTTTTGGAGCTGAATTTTGGTAGCCTTCAAAAAACACAGAATTGATATATTATGTAAAATATTTCAGATCATAGAAAAGTGAGATATGTTTCCCAGTTAGTTCCCATACTCATGTTTTTTAAGTAATATGACCCAAATAGAAAAACAAATAAAAACATAGACCAATTTTTCTTTTGACTATAGATGTGAAAATTCAAAATTTACTATTAGCTAAAAAGAACCAATAATATATTGATAGAATACACTGCAATTAAGGCTATTCTAAGTATATTGATATAACACATTGCAATTAAGTTTATTAAGAATGCAAGGATGGCTCAAGAAAATTTAATAAGTTATTATGCCAACAAATTAGAAGAGAAAAATTATCATGTGACTGTATGTTCAAATTTGATAAAATTCAGCAGTCATTTTTAGTAGCAGCTATAAATTGATAGGAAATAAGCTTAAAAAGGAAATAATTGGCCGGGCATGGTGGCTCTCACCTGTAATCCCAGCACTTTGGGAGGCCGAGGCAGGTGGATCACCTGAGGTCAGGAGTTCGCAACCAGCCTGGCCAACATTGAGAAACCCTGTCTCTACTAAAAATGCAAAAAATTAGCCAGGCATGGTGGTGGGCACCTGTAATCCCAGCTACTCAGGAGGCTGAGGCAGGGGAATCTCTTGAACCCAGGAGGCAGAGGTTGCAGTGAGCCAAGATCGTGCCATTGCACTCCAGGCTGGGCACCAAGAGCAAAACTCTGTCAAAAGGAAAGAAGGAAGGAAGGAAGGAAGGAAGGAAGGAAGGAAGGAAGGAAGGAAGGAAGGAAGGAAGGAAGGAAGGAAGGAAGGGAAAATTTAAGTGCAATAAAACTTATTCATTCCAAATTCAGCAATAAATGTCTTTTTACATTGTAGGAGCCATTGACTTTAAAATAAGGAACTGGACAGTGATGGATGCCATTGCCTTTATTTTCATTATTATTTTGAAGGTTCTATACAATACAAGAAGACAAGAAAATAAAGTCATATGTTGAAAAAAGAGTCAAATATGTCCTCATTTTAAGATGATGGGTTTATATATAAAATTAAAGTAACATCATTCAATATTGTGATACTTAAGATAATTTGGCAAGGTGGTTGGACATAAGACAAAACTGACAGCTTTTTGTGCTACTCATAATTAATGATTCTGATGGTAATATTTTCAATTTTCTATTCAATATTTGGGGTCTATACATTTCAGTCCACAATGCGAGCAGCACTTTTCCTCCCATGGGCACTCACCATCCTGCAGGCACTTGGGTTTATCAATCTTGGCACATACCGAGGGCTTGTGTGGGCAGAAACCTGTTTTGACTTTATGGGGTAAAAGAAGACACTTGACCTTGAAATACTTGGTCATAATTTGAGACAAATTTGGGGAATCTTGGGAATCGCAAACAGGATTTTATTCGGGTTGAGCTTCTTACCTTTCCCCCTATAGTGGCAATAGACTGGGGGAGGCAGAGTATCAACTTTCTACAGCTAACAACTTGAGAAGCATCAAGAAAAGTCTTGCAATCTCTGATTCATACCATCTGTTAGGGTTCCTGTCTGCTCCTATAGAATTCATGGATCTGGGTTATATAACCCGAGTACCACAGGTGGCAGGAGTATTAGATAGCACACAGAACTTTCTTCTTTTATAAATTGTAGGCATTGAAGACCATTTAGAGGGAAGTGAGTTGCCCAATGCCACATGGAAACCCAGTACAAGAGCTGAAGCCAGTTGAAAAGCTTTGACTCCTGCCACCACACTATACTGAACCTTAGAACCTCAAAGCCACACCTGGACAATACCTGGGACTACATGGGGGAGTAAACACCTGCCTTAGAGGAGGCTGGAAAGTTGGCTTCTACCCAACAGCATTTGCTACCAATGTTTTCCCTAGCTCATCTTACAGAATATGAATATGCTGTGAATGCTCTGAAGTTCTGTGCAGACATGAGGGCTTATTGGGAATACACCTCATGGTTATGAATTTTTTATGAATCAGTGGATATTGTCACCTTGCAAGCCGAAGTTTTCTTGGGGAAGAATAGAGAGCAATACTATGAATAATTGGCTTTGAAGAACAGCACAATAGTCTTCGGAGGTCAAGAGGTCAATATAACTTGTTGGGCATTAAAGGGGTTTCCAAGGATCCTCAAAGGTAAGTCCAAGGGGCTTCTGAGGTTCAAGACACCCCCCACTCCATGACACAGAATGGCATCCTTGGGATATGTCCAGTAGATTTGGGAGGTCTACCCCCAATCCTTACCTGTCCAGGCATTGGCACAAACAAAGCCACACCTGGATTCACAACATTTGTCTGTCAGGGGACAATCGATGTCACTGTGACATGAAGGCAGACACTCCATACGGTCAGTGAAAGGGAAGAGTGGGCACTGTCCATTCTTAACTAAAACAAGAGCAGATGTGAGCTTCTTAAAACCCCATCTCCATCCCACCACTCTTCAAAGAGCTTTTCCTTCTCTTCAAAGCTAGTATCTCTTTCTGCACCCTACCCTATCCATCTCCAGTAGAAGAATGAAATGTCTCACCATATCATGGGATATGGTAGACAGCGTGCTGGGCTTGGTGCCTCAAACACCATGGTAAAGTCCCAGTCCTGCTACTTAGTGAGTTTCCTTATTCATAAAATGGGATAATTACGTGAAATCTACACAAATCAGTGTAAACCATTTTTATGGTATTTGGTTTTACTTAGAATGAAATAAGGATCCATTGCAGTGTTCTCAGCAGAGAAGTGACACGGCCTGACCCATGTTTTGAAAGTGTCGTTGTGGCTACTGTGTTGATTTGTAAGGAGGGTAGAAGCAGGGAGATCTTTTAGGAGGCTGGTGGGGTAATCCAAGGAGAAGATGGCTCCTCAGATCAGGGTGGCAGCTGTGGAGGTGGTCAAGTTTTACCAGATTCGGGATCCACTGTCAAGGTAGAACAAAAATTATTTTCCAACTTAATGGATGTTAATTGAGAAAGAGAGGCATCAAGTGTGATTTTGAAGTTTTTCAACCAAGATGAGAAGTATGGATAGAACAGGTTTGGGTAAGGGGAGTAATGGTAAGACATACTGGTTTATGTGTGTACATTTATGTTTGGTTTATTTTTCTTTTTTTGAGATATGGTCTCCCACTGTCACCCAGCTGAGCCTCAACTTCCCCAACTCAAGTGATCTTTCCACCTCCTCAAGTGGTCTTCCCAGCCTCCTGAGTAGTTGGGACCACAGGCGCATGACACCATGCCTGGTTTTTTGTTTGCTTTTATATTTTGTAGAAATTGAGTCTCACTATGCTGTGTATGCTGGTCTCAAACTCTTGGGTTCAACTGTTCCTCTCGCCTCAGCCTCCCAAAGTGCTAGGATTACAGGTGTAAGCTACTCTGCCTGGCCCGAGGTTCTGTTTAAACAAGTTCAACTTGAGGTGTTTGTGAGGTCCAGGTGGAGATACAGAGCAGATAATGGAGTCTGGGAGTCAGATTTGGGCTGGAGATGTGACTCTGAGAATCATTAGGACATACATAGCATTTAAATCAATTCTTTGGGGTTTTGTGCATGTATGCTCTTGTCCTCATCTGACTGCAAATTCTACAAGGGCTTCCCCAGGTCAGGCTCAGTTATGATGTATTGAACTCTCAGAGGTATTATCAGGTTGCCTCTGAGTGTTAACCTAAATTTCCCACAAATCAGCCCAAGCCCACTTCCCTGGCCTCCTCTTCCTGATGGCTCCTAAGAGAGAAGACAAGAGTCTCGTCCGCAGCCTCATGATTCCTTAGAGCTTCCCATGAAGGGAAGCTTGTGGTCCTGGTTTCAAGTCAGGCCCCAGGATTGCATTGGCTACTCAGGCCCATGGGTCCATGGAATTAAAAGTCCACCTCTACTCCTGACCAACTGTGGGTTCTTGGACGACTACCTTTACCTCTCTGACTCTGTTCTCTCATCTTAAGTGGTAGCGATGGTACATTTTTCAGTGTGCCTCACAGAATCTGAGGTTGAAATTGCAACGCTGCCCCCAGAAATCACACAGTGCTGCATTGTAAAGATCACTGGTCATCGTCTCAATTATTACCATTTAGTGAACTCACACCACGAGACAGCCACTGTATCAAGTCTTTGTGTTTTTAATCACATATAATCCTGCCAACAACTCAGTGAGTTGTTTGCTGTTACTCCCGAATTACCAAAGAGGGAACTGCAACTCAAAGAAGTGAAGAAACGTGCAGCAAGTGGGAAAAGCCAGCTTTAATTCAGGTCATTTGACTCCCAAGTTTGGTAAGACACTGTCTCCCAGCGTTACTGGTGATGACCATTATGCTAAGGAATAAATCCACAGCCTTCATCTTCATCCCACCCTACCCCCCACTTCCAGTGTGGACACTTACTCCATGGGATTCCAGAGCTGGCCTTTATACACTTCATTCTAACATGAATCCTCAGTATGATGCTCAACAGGTTACTATGATGAGGAAACACTCCTTCCAAGGGGCCACACCTGGCTTTCGGGTCCCATTGGCCAAGATCTGTTAACACTTTCTATACACTTTCTCATTTTTTGGTAGAGCCCACTCCATTAGGTAAATACTATTATTAACCTCATTCTATAGACAAGGAAACTGGAACTTATAAAGGCAGGCAACTGGCCCAAGACCTCCCAGCTGGTGAATGACAGAGCTCCGTCTTGAACCAAGGAAATTTAACCTCAAACCCTGAGCCTATAACCTCACCGGTATACTATTTCTAGTTAAACGAGGCCCTCAGATTTCCAGGAAATGGGTCTCACCAGTTGACATGCAGGCCGTTCTGCAGTCATCCTCACTTAAGAAGTTGTTCGTTGGGAGGCCGAGGCGGGTGGATCATGAGGTCAAGAGATCGAGACCATCCTGGTCAACATGGTGAAACCCCATCTCTACTAAAAATACAAAAAATTAGCTGGGCATGGTGGCATGTGCCTGTAGTCCCAGCTACTCAGGAGGCTGAGGCAGGAGAATTGCCTGAACCCAGGAGGCAGAGGTTGCAGTGAGCTGAGATCGCGCCATTGCACTCCAGCCTGGGTAACAAGAGCGAAACTCCGTCTCAAAAAAAAAAAGAAGTTGTTGGCATTCCCTTTGCGGTCCCTGTAGGTGAAGGGTCTGCAGCGGTGATTTTCAAAGTCAAAATGCCAGTGCCGTGCACCAACATTGCAGTCTCCTTGGCTCACAGGTAGCGTGCAGGGTTCTGAGGTCAGGCAGCAAGGAGGGAAGGACATGAAGAGTAGAGATAAAAGGAGAGGGTCAGTTGTCTAGCATTTGTCATAGCTCCTGGTGTTATCACCTAAGTCATAAATGGAGTCAATGCAGGGGAAAAAAAAAGGCATAGGTTCTGGTCCTAGTTCTACTACTAATAGTCTGTGTTGTATGGCACCTCTGAGCATCACGCACTCCTGGTAAAGAATATTATAAAGTGTATAAAAGAATCCTGTGGCTGGGCGTGGTGGCTCACCCCTGTAATCCCAGTACTTTGGGAGGCCAAAGCGGTCGGATCACCTGAGGTCAGGAGCCTGAGACCAGCCTGACCAACATGGAGAAACCTGTCTCTACTAAAAATACAAAATTAGCTGGGTGTGGTGGCATGTGCCTGTAATCCCAGCTACTCGGGAGGCTGAAGCAGGAGAATCGCTTGAACCTGGGAGGCAGAGGTTGCAGTGAGCCAAGATGGCACCACTGCACTCCAACCTGGGCAACAGAGCAAGAATCAGTCTCAAAAAAAAAAAAAAAAAAAAGAGGTTGCCGTTGTACTCCAGCCTGGACAAGAGCAAAACTCCATCTCAAAAAAAAGACAGAAACTTATACTTTGGAGCTGATCCTTGTTCTCCATTGTTCTGAGCTTTGGGAGGGCAAGGGCAAGACTTGTTCAGCAACTATTAGGTTGGTATAAAAGTAATCGTGGTTTTTGCATTGTTGAAAATTGCCATTTGACGTTAGAATATATTCTTAAATAAATATGATTATGTTATACATCATTTTAATGCACATTTCCTGCTTCATGTATTTTTGCTAATGACATTACTTGCTGTTTATTTGATATTTATTTTAGACTATGAATCCTGGTGAGACCATTACATCTGAGAAGTGTGCTCAGCACGTCGATGAGATGCACTGAAACCTGCAGTGCCTGCAGCCGGCATTAGTCAGCAGAAAGGGCCATTAGTCAGCAGAAAGGGCCATTTGGTCAACAGAAAGGGCCAATTCTCCGCAGCAACGCCCAACTACACATCACACAACCAATGCAAAAGAACAAATTGGGCTACGAAGTTTTGCTTCATCCACCATGTTGATCTGACCTCTCGCCAACCGACTACCACTTCTTCAAGCATCTCAACGATGACGAACTCTTGGAAAGCATTTTCTGCATTCTGCTGTTTGTGGATGTGTTTTTGCAGGGAAAACACATCCACAAAAAGCAGGTTGCAGAAAATGCTTTCCAAGAGTTCATTGAATACTGAAGCACAGACTTTTACATGACAGGAATAAACAATTTATTTCCCTTTGGCAAAAATGTGTTGACCGTAGTAGTTCCTCTTTTGATTAATAAAGATTGTTTTGTTTTGTTTTTTCGGAAGGAGTCTCGCTGTGTCACCCAGGCTGGAGTGCAATGGCGCAATCTCAGCTCACTGCAACCTCCACCTCCTGGGTTCAAGCAGTTCTCCTGCCTCAGCCTCCTGAGGACCTAGGATTACAGTTGCCTGCCACCATGCCTGGGTAACTTTTGTATTCTTAGTAGAGGCAGGGTTTCACCGTGCTGTTCAGGCTGGTCTCAAACACCTGATCTCAGATGATCCACCTGCCTCAGCCTCCCAAAGTGCTGGGATTAAGGCGTGAGCCACTGTGCCTAGCCAATAAAGATGTGTTTGAGGCTAGTCATAATGATTTAAAATTCACCGTCCAAAACCACAGTTACTTTTGAATCCAAAGCGCCTAACAAAGTACCTACTACCTAGAAGGAATGAAATACGAAGGAAGAGAAGGCCCCTGATGTCTGAACACTGATCTGACACTCCCACCTAAGCCACACGGATCCTCTGTTGGACATTTAAAACACCTCCTAGAACGTCTATATCAAACAAAGTCACTCTGAGATCATGATGAAGTGAGACAAAAACAAGATCACTGTGAAACCTGCAAAATACTAAACACCCCTCAACTCCCAGCTAACACGAGTGGCTTATGCTTCTCTACCAACCAATCACAGCTTTATCCTCAGTCGAGTCTGCACTCTGTAGAGTTAAGATTCACTGGGATAGCTAGTCATAGAATTGCCCCCACTTTCTGACAGCACCCAATCTGGAGCAAACTCTCACTTCTTTAGACCCTCCCCTGAATTACCCAATCGAATCCCAAATCCTATAATAGATTCTTTCTAACAGCTTCCTACTGAAATGCCTCAGACTTGTCTCGGGTGAGCATTTTCCCTCACTGCAATGAGTAATAAATCCAACTTGTTCAACTACAGGTGTATTCTGGTGGTCTTTGTTCAAAGAGCATTAACAACAGATATTTGTTGAATGAATGTGTGAGTGAGCGAGTAAATTAGTTTTTATAAAAACACACAGTTCCCTACACATATTAGATGCCCAATATATTGGGTTACCAGAAAACCTCCTTGAAGATCGAAAAGTCTGAAAAATAATGCCAGCATCTAAGCTGACTGAGGTTTCTTTCTGTCACGGTGCCAATAATAGTCTCTTAGACAGAGTATCAGCAAGTATTAGTTATTTGTGAATGGTTGAATGTTGGACCAAAGAAGACCAGCATCAATATTATGGCGGTTGACAGTCATCATGCCTAGACTTATGATTTGTACTTGATGGTTAGCCATGGATAAGAGAACGAGAAAACCACAAGCCCTGGGTCTTTGTCCTTCCATCCAAGGGAGTCTTGCAGCAAGTTTTGGATAGAGCAGGAAGTGGGAACCTCTGTCCTCAGCCCGGACTTCACTACCTCAAAAGGGATCCAGGCACTTCTGACAGGCAAAAAAGCAGCACTTCAGGTAGTCCTTGCAGTCAAAATCTGTGTTGCATGAGTTCAGAAGTTCAGTGGTACAGCTGAGCCTCTCTTTGGGACACACCCCCGGTTTCTCTGCAAGAAAGAAATGTTCAAACTCACATTCCTTGAGAATTTCAGCTTTTTTTCTCCTATGGCAAAGGTGTGTCATGAAATTCTCCCAGACCTATCCTCTACCTTCAATTTGTAGTTCTTGTTCTGCTTATATTTAGGGGCTAGTTCTGTTTCTTAGCACTCAGATCCATTTAAATAGATCTGAATCAGGAATTTGTGTCCAAGCAGAACTGAAGGAGAAGCATCTTGGATTCCAGGGCAAAGGGTTAGGAAGGGACCAAGGCCCTTTCTCTAAATTCAAAAGATCCTCTCTCTTCTTGAAACCTAATATTTAATACTTAATTGCTTTGCCTCCCAGTTGATAAAAGAAATTAGTAAAGACTGATGGGAACATCGTGGAAGTAGGGGTCAGGAGGTCTGATTTTACCCTTGATTCCTGGTAAACTCAAGACCAATCTGAACTCAGTTGTGTTATTTTTAAGCAACCTCTAAGGAGTAAGAAATGGTGGAGTGGAAGAAGCATTGTAGTCAGGCAGATTTGGCTTGGGAGCCTGGCTCCCACACTAAACAGCGAAATAGTCTTGGGAATGTACTTCCCTTCATCTGAGTTATGTTTTTCCATATTTAAAATGATAATGACAATTCCTGCCTTACAGGTTGATCTTAAGTGTTGAATAGGGTGATATCTATATGCCTGGCACATGGTAAGACCTTGGCAGATATGGAGTTGCCTTCTACCTTTTATTTATTTATTTTTTTTAGCAAAAACTAGAGAGGCAAGGAAAAAATTAAAGACCCAAGTAGTTGACCTTAAGATTAGAGATTATCTCTAATTTTAAGGTCTAATCTCTGGCCCAGACCCAGTCAATTAGGTCATTGAAAAGCAGAGTTTTCTTCTGGTTGGTGGAGAAGAATTATCAGAGAGATTCAAATGATGAGAAGGATCCAACATGCTATTTGTAGCTTTGAAGGTGGTTGAAGCCAAGTGCCAAGGCATGAGGGCGACATCTAGAAGTCAAAGCCAGTAAGAAAGACTCAGTCCTACAACTCCAAGGAAATGATTCTGCTACAACCAGGGAGCTTGGGAGAGGACCTTGCATCCCAAATGAGAACTACAACGCTGGCTGACATTACAATCTCAGCCTGGTAAGAATCAGAACAGAGAACCCAGATGCACCATGCCAGACTTCTGACCCACAGACAATTTGTTACGTAGCAAAGGATAGCTCATACAGTGCATAACGTGTCTCCATGATTCTAAACTGAACATCCGTCCAGTGGAATCTGGCCAGAGAGGCATGATCCTTTCTGATACTACTGAGTCTTGGGATTGCAGAACTTTAGAGTGGAAAGAACCGTATTTATCATTGTCACTAAACTTCTGATTTCATGGATTAAAAGAAATGAGGTCAGATAGGATAATGCAGCACATTACGGGCAAGTCTGGGGCTTGCAATCCAGGACTCACTTCAGAAGTCCCACATCCTCCCTGAGGACTGGCCACTGAGACTTTGAGTACTTTCCAACAATACTTCTTGTCATTAATGACCCCTCCCAGAATGGACTATAGCTAAGAAGAGTATGTGGTTCCTAATTTGGAGACTAAATAAAAATCATCTACACATCTTTCAGAAAATAGAGACTCTAGACTGAATCAGAATCTCTAGAAAGCGCATCCTTGGGACTCTAGTTTTTAAAAAGAACCCCAGGTGATCCTAAAGCAGGCAGCAGGCACCAGGAAGTAAGTGGACTTGGGAACAATTGTTCTAGGTTTAGGCAGAGAGACAGAGTTCAGCAAATCAAACAGGGACACCTCCAAAGGGGCAAAAAGGCATAGAAAGGGAAACCTTGGGATTGTGAAGACAAACCTCTCTCTCACTAGTGTTGACTCCAGTCTCCATCTTGCTTCCTGGAGCCATTTAAACCTTTACTGGGTTTCAGTCATTGTAGCTCCTTTCCCTGTTGTTAGCTTGAGCTCTCACTTATTAATTTAAAAAACTTCCTCCATTTCTGGTCAGCTCTTCTCAACCAATTCCTGTGAGTATATGCATACCGCACAGGTTTCTCTGCATCTACTGAGGATGCTCCCCAGATATCTGGCCTCAGCTGTCTTCTGACATTACTTGACACATACTTCCTGGGTGATCCCATTCATTCCCATGATCCCAGCTATGATTCTCATATCTTCCTCCAGACTCATCCTCTATTCCAAGCTAAAGATGCTTATTTCTAGCTCCCTAGGAAAAACACCATCTGGGCATCTCAGAAGCACCTCTATTACAACATATTTAGAACAGAACTATTATCTCCTTATGCCCAAGCACCACCTTATTTCTATTCTGCATCTTGGCATTTGGCATCAACAGGTCCAGTCTGTTATTAGAATCTGGAGATTCATTCCTTCCTCTCCGCCATCCCAGCATCCCATCAGTCATCTTGGATCAATTCTGTCTCCTAAATCTCTCTCCAAACCCTGTCTTCTCCTTCTCTTTACTACCACTCTCTCAGATCAGCACCTGACCTCATCCCTTGTCTCTTCTCAACTACTTCAGCAGCCTCCTCACTGGTCCTGTCCCCTCAGGCTCATGCCTAATGGCTCATTAATTTTAAAAACATTAAACGTGTGTGTGTGTATGTGTGTGTGTGTGTGTGTAGTGGGAATGAATGTGATCTCCCAAGAAGTATGTGTCAAGTGATGTCATAAGACAGAGGCGACCAGATCTCTGGAGAGCATCCCCAGTAGATGCAGAGAAACCCTTGGGGTGTGCATGTCAGGAAGGAGACCATGTACATCATCTCCTTCCATATGTACATATGGAAAAGTTAGGGAAATAATTTGGGGGGAACAAGTAAAGAAAGGATGTGGAGGGCCAGGGTGGTGAGCAGGGGTAGCTTTCTGTGGCCCTAAATCCATGGCAGAGGGAACCTCATCTGACACTGGCACTGGCCTCATATCTAACCCTTGTCCCCAAGTACGAGGATACTTTCTAAGGAAGAATGATTTCTAAGAAAGAATAGATGCAGCTTTTTTTTGAACCCACCTTTGATCATCTTCTCCAGCCATGCAGAAGTTCACTCCAAAGCAAGGGAGAGAAGCAGCAGGAAAGCTACATTCCTCCAGGAGAAGGTGAGGCTGTGGAGAGGAAGGTGCCTATGTGGATGAGAAGAGAGGTAGGAGTTAAGCACAATCTAGAGAGAGACACAAAGTGTGTGCAGAGAAACCTTAGAGATAAGCCACCAGGTTCCCTGTGTTCACAGGTAAGAAGACTGGCACCGGCATGGGGAAGGGATCTGTCCGAGGTCAGATGGTGAGTGAGGGTGGGTGTAAGGCATTCCGTTTCAGGACCCTGGCCAGTCCCCACACTCTGCCATGGTGCTGTGCTTTGTCCTACCCAGACACTTGCCTATAGTCGTGTTCCTGGGTGAGAGGCCACACTCAAATGATCTCAAGGATTTGTTTGGAACAGCTGCAGAGTTTGCCCACAGTCACTCTGGGGGCAATCCCAGACACTAGTGAACATCTTTTCTTTGCTCCCCTGAAGACAGAAATGGATAGACGGAGATTTTCCAGAGGGCCTGGGCACACTCTATTGGTTCTTGGTGTGCCAGAAGCAATAACGATCTCAGATGACCTTGGGTTAAAAAAGAAATTCCTTTTATTCCTTCTGTTGCTATTCAAGCCTAGAATCTTATGATACTCCCAGACAACCAGACGAATAGATGAGCTTCCCCCACCTACTCAAGCCCCCATTTTCCATATGTGTCTTAATGATCCTTATGTATTTCTTATTTTAAGGTGTGAAGAACTAATAATAATCTCTTACTGACTCTTAGAGTCATAGAGTACATACACTCCAAAAATGCAAGAGGTAGGTAGCAGGAGGAGGAGGAAGCAAGAGAGAGAGAAAGAGAGAGAACATCTTTATGCCAAAATACACATCTGTATTGGTGGAACTTCAGATGCTATGAAAGCTGTGAAGGTATCTTGGAACAGAGTCTCTTCTAGAGCATCTGAAGCCATACTATGTGGCTGCCTAAAAGTAAAAACTTGCAACAATTTATCTCCCCCACCTTTTTTGTGGAGGGAATTCTAATTATGTATCCTCTTCAAATTTTACAATAGTGCCTGTACTCTTTGGTCACAGAAATTGTGACCCCAAACATAGTGATCTTGATTTTGGGCCTGGCTCAATCCTTTCTAACACCATATCTTGGATCCCCAGTTTCCTCATCTGGAAAATGGGAATAATTCAACTACACCAGAAGCTTTGTTATCATTGTGAGGATTGAGATGAGATTGTGTGAAGATTTGATGAAGCGGTACAGAGTGGTAGGAATTGTAGTGTTCAGAGTTACACCTGAGTTCACATCCTCAGTCCACCACTTACTGGCTGTGTGGTCTGGGCTCAGTCACATCACACTGAGCCTCAGTTTGTCATAAACGAAACAACAATAACACCTAACTCTAACTCACAGACATGAGAATTCATTGAACTATTTATGTAAAGCATGACAACTGGCTTGTAAATCAGTGTTTGTTATAATTTAACCAGTTAACAAATAATGAATGGCAATAGTGAAGGCCTATAAATGTACCCATTACCACGTTAGCTTTTGATTTCCTTAGTCAGAGACTACGTAAATCATGACTTTAGTTCCCTAAAAGATTAGCCAAAAGGCCCTCTGGTGCTTTAATTTTTATAATCAAGTCACCCTTTGGGTTTGAATTTTTACCCTTTAACCTGAAAACATCTATTAACCCAGTCTTGGGAATCAGTTGATCAGATTAGCCTGCAGTCAGTTACAAGAAAGCAGATCTCGTGGGATGGGGGTGGGGGAGAAACACAGATTAACAGGATTGTCAAACATAATAGAGGATGTTCAGTTATAATTTTAGTATAAGTATATCCCATGCAACATAAGGACTATACTTCTATGAAAAAAATATTTTATGTTTATCTGACATTCAAATTTAACTGATCATCCTGTATTTTTATTTTCTAAATCTGGCAACTTTGACACAGAATGAATCAGTTTTGGTTGGACTGTGGTTTGTTTGGGCAAGAGACTACAAAACACAGGTCTCGTAGGTAACAAATGAGCATGACTGTGAGAGTTGCACAGTACAGGCTCTGAAGAACTAGGGCAGACCTGGAATATATGGACACAAATGTGCTGCAGAAGTAGCACACCAGGTGTCGGCATGGTGGCTCATGTTTGTAATCTCAGCACTTTGAGAGCCAAGCAGAAGGATCACTTGAGCATAGGAGTTCAAGACCCACTTAAGCAACATAGCAAGACCCTGTCTATACAAAAAAAAAAAAAAAAATTAAAAAGCTTAGCCTGACATGGTAGCACACACCTGTGATTCCAGCTACTCAGGAGACTGAGGTGGGACAATAACTTGAGCCTGGGAGGTCAATGTTGCAATAAGCCATGATCATGCCACTATTAGCCTGGATGACAGAGTTAGTCCTTGTGGAAGAAAGAAAAGGAGAGGAAAGGAGAGGAGAGGAGAGGAGAAAAGTAGGGAGGCAGGGAGGGAGGGAGGGAGAAAGAGAGAAAGGAAGGAAGGAAAGAAAGAAGAAAGAAAAAAAGAGAGAGAAAAAAAGAGAGAGGGAGGGAGGGAGGGATGGAGGGAGGGAGGGCCATTTGAAATTTTACCTCCATCTACCCATTTGAAAAAAGAGTGAATTTGACTAGATCAGGTTTGTTCAGGCTGGGGTACCTATATCCCTCAGGATACAGGAAGATTTTCTAGGAAATGCACAGGTACAGAGGGATCTAAGTACATTATTGATTTTTAAACTACATATCTACTTTTTCCTGAAGCTGATCTACTCGAGAATAGACCCTGAACTTGAGCCATCCTCAAGTTCTCGTTTTCATCCTCTTTTCCATTAAGTACTTCATCTTTAAATTTTTTTAAAAAGAGACATACTTCTTATCTTTGAATACACATGTATTCAAAGTGTAAAAACTTCTGAATTCCAAACAAAGGAACAATTCAAGAATGCATTTTCCTGAGGATGCTTTCCTTGGAGGCAAACCAAAGAAAGTATGGGTAAGAAATACCAAGGAGTCAGCACCGGTTTCATTCAGGTGGCAAACTCACACTAAGCCACTGTGCCTTTTGCTCTCTACCCTAGAAATAGGATTCAGAAGTGTGATGGTTGCCACTGGGATGTATATTAAGACATTTATTTGAATTGAAAAATGAAGTCATTCTTTTGTGGGAGAAGATAAGTTTGACTAATTTGGCTGATGGAGGACTGACTTTGCCAATTAGTCAAACCTGTGCCATCAAGTTTTTTTTTTAAAAAATTTAAAGTATGCAGTAAGATAAAAGCGTTTTATAAAAGTAATCATATAAAATTTTTTAAAAACTGTATGTTTTGTAAAATGCTTTCAAACTTCCCTATATTTTGAAACCATAACATTTAAACTTTCCAACGCTTACAAAGTATATCAGATTAGAAAAGGTGACTAAATGAAAGAGTGACATGTATGATTAATCACATTATTAATCATTTGGTAGATGCTGGTAAAGCCTTTTTGGTAAACTTTCCAGAAATTAAGAAATCACTTGTGATTTGTGATTAGTATTCTACCTGCTATAAAACAAATCATTTTGCAAGATACCAGGTGTGCAATTCTTTGCCTTTATAAAAATTGAAGAAGAGTTTAATCAAGCTATTGATTAATAGTTAAATTAAATCATTAAAATAATTTTTAGATGTTTAAAATTATTTTAATATAATTTCTGGAGATCAATAACATATTGCTGGCTGGGCGCAGTGGCTCATGCCTGTAATCCCAGCATTTTGGGAGGCCAAGGTGGGTGGATCACTTGAGGTCAGGAGCTGGACACCAGCCTGCCCAACATGGTGAAACCCCATCTCTACTAAAAAATACAAAAATTAGTGGAGCATGGTGGTGCCTGCCTGTAATCGGGAGGCTGAGGCAGGAGAATTGCTTGAATCTGGAAGGTGGAGGTTGCAGTGCACCGGGATCCTGCCACTGCACTCCAGCCTGGGCAACAAAGTGAGACTCAGTCTCAAAATAAAATAAATAACATATTGCTAAATTTTATGCAGTAGAAGTGCATTCCTAAATAAACCCAAGGCAATAATTAACAAAAAGGCAAAGAAATAAATAGCTTTAGTTTAAAATACAGTCACCCTTTGGTATCTTTGGGGGATTAGTTCCAGGAACCCTCGTGGATACCAAATCCTTCGATGCTAATGTCCATTTTATAAAATGGCATCGTATTTGCATATAACCTATACACATTCTTCCGAATACTGGAAAATCGTGTCTACTACCATTATGAATGCTATGCAAATAGTTGTTATACTGTATTTGTATTGTTTTTATTATTGTGGGTTTTTTTCCTAAACGTTTTCTATCTACAGTTGATTGGACCTGCAGATGCGGATCCTGTGCATATGGAGGGCCAACTGTAAATGCCAGAAAACAAAATCAACTACAAAATAGCATTATCAATGTTAACTATTTTCAAATAGAAGTAGGGACTGAACATATATGCATCAAATCATGTTCTCATTCACTGATATAAGTGTAGGTGTACCTCCAAACAAGTTACTATGAGGGTAAATACATAAATATATTCAAATAAATACACAACCCAAATCATAAGCCACAGATCACCCACCATTTTCCAAGACCAAAATTTTCACATATAGTGGCAAATACAGCCAAATATTAGTGTAAATTAGCACACTTACATATACAGATATATGAAAATACCAGAATTCAAAGTGACACGCAGGCATGTAACACAGGTGTTTATGCATAAACACACAGCTCAGTCAGAAACAGCCCATACAGAAACAGCGGTCTATTGGAGCACACAATACTGCTGTGACCTTCTCACTAGTGATGAAAATTCAACAGTTCACAATAAAATTGACTTTAAAAATGCTCATGCTTTAAATAATATAGACAAAGAAACCAGACTTCTAAAGCCACTTCCGGGCCAGGCGCGGTGGCTCAAGCCTATAATCCCAGCACTTTGGGAGGCCGAGGCGGGTGGATCACCAGGTCAAGAGATCGAGACCATCCTGGTGAACATGGTGAAACCCCATCTCTACTAAAAATACAAAAAATTAGCTGGGCATGGTGGCTCGT